TTCGTATTATTTATTCTTAATAAATAGGGTACGGTTCCATTATGGACATCCGGATGTATTTGACAGGCTATTTCACATCACAAGAGGTGGCATAAGCAAAGCATCAAAAACAATTAACCTGAGCGAGGATGTTTTTGCTGGTAAGATTTGTTTATGTTAGAAATCATATTCCTATATTTTCAATATTTATTCAAACTGCTTACATCAGATATGATGTAGGATTTAACTGTACCTTACGACGGGGATGTATAACTTATCATGAGTACATGCAAGTTGGCAAGGGGCGTGACGTAAGTCTAAACCAGATATCAAAGTTTGAAGCTAAAGTTGCTAATGGAAACAGTGAACAAACTCTAAGCCGTGATATATACCACCTTGGACGTCAGTTTGACTTCTTCCGGATGCTATCTTGTTATTTCACAACCATTGGGTTTTACTTTAGTAGCCTGGTAATTTGTTTGAACCCTAAACAAATTTATGTTGCTATTAGGATAAATTTCTCTGGTTTTAGGCATGGTGTCATATCAGTTACTGACAATGATCATTTGAAAATTGCAAGATGAAAATTCTTTTGTTTATCTTATAAAATTTTTGGGTCAACAACTACAAATTCTATGGAGTAAATTAATAAAACATATTCTTTCATGTACAATGTCAATCTGTATTTCTGGAGTCAATACATATATGGTAGATATTCTTTGTAGTCTTATTATCACATATGTCTTGTTACATCTATTTATTGCTGTTTCCTCTATTCTGAATGCTCTATTTTGAAGTTCTTGCTACTCAACTAACATGGGGTGTGATTGATCTGAAATTCTGCTATCAGATGTCAATTATTGGAATCTACGTGTTCCTCTACGGACAGTTATACCTTGTCCTTAGTGGCTTGGAAAAAGCGCTTATAATTGAAGCTAGACTGCAGAACATACAACCCTTGGAAACAGCTCTTGCCTCACAGTCATTTATACAGCTTGGACTACTAACAGGATTACCAATGGTGATGGAAATTGGACTTGAGAAGGGGTTCCTTAATGCACTTAAAGATTTTGTCCTGATGCAATTGCAGCTGGCTTCTGTTTTCTTCACTTTCTCCTTTGGCACAAAAATTCATTATTATGGCCGAACAATTCTGCATGGGGGTGCTAAATACAGACCCACTGGGCGTAAGGTCGTTGTGTTTCATGCTAGCTTCACTGAGAACTACAGATTATATTCAAGAAGCCACTTTGTGAAAGGATTCGAATTATTGCTCCTGTTGACTGTTTATCACTTGTTTAGGCGGTCCTATCAGAGCAACATGGCATATGTATTGATCACTTATTCAATTTGGTTCATGTCAATCACTTGGTTGTTCGCTCCATTTCTTTTTAATCCCTCTGGATTCAGTTGGGAGAAGATAGTAGATGACTGGAAAGATTGGAACAAGTGGATCAGACAACAGGGTGGCATTGGAGTTCAACAAGATAAAAGTTGGCAGTCTTGGTGGATAGATGAGCAAGCCCATCTTCGTCGTTCAGGGATGACTTCTAGGGTGTTTGAAATTCTCCTTTCCGTTCGATT